ACAATACAGTGAACCAATCAAACCTCGAAACAATTAAATATAGCTGACGAGAAGCGCGGGAAAACGTATGCGAACGAGTTATGATTGGTTTTGGCTTTACTTCTGATTGGATGAAAAAGTGGCGCGAGTTTTTTTAAGCCAATCGTGTGGCGTAGTAATACAAAACCAATTACTTTACGACACTCAAATGAAAGCCACTCTAGAGTACATAAGGAGATTCCGAGTGATGGACTCCTGTCTCGTAGTCGTTAGTAGTCATGTACTTGAATTTTAAGGCTTCTTATGTCCTCTTGCTGCTACATATACAGATTACTCGAACATTTTAAGTAGAGGAACATTGGAAATTTAATAAAAGTCAATGCAATAGTAATGTACCTCAAGTAGTCCTTGCTTTCCTTCAAAATAGTCGAACTGGGGGCGGAAGAGAGCGGGATAATGGATGCGGAAAAAACTGTCGTGGAGCTTCCAATTTTTCAAGCAGCCATCCAGTCAACGTACCGCTTCTTTTGCTCTTCGATCGCTAAACGACCTACCTCTCTTATGATATTGAGAGTTAGTCTTTTAATAGCAGGTTGATGGAAAAAAATATTTTATCAAGTCAGTGACTTCGTACTCGCAAATACAATACACGTTTGTCGTTAAAAGTGAAACACAGGACACAAGGTTCTCCTGCCACGATGCCTTGATGGATTTAGCCATGTTCCAAATCTTTTTTTAAATCAAAGGAAACTGAAGAATAAGTTAATAGATCGAAAACACCAACTATGTAATAAGTAACGATAACATGCCATATTCGTATTCCCGGTATTGGACTGGAAATAGCCTGAAACTGAGGCTAATGCGGGGAGTATGACATTGACCTCTTTTTGATGATATCCCCCCCCTCCCCCCCTTGAGCCTCCATTGCAAGCTAGTTTCAGTCCAATACCGAGAATACGGGTAGGGCCTATCGTCAAGGATCAAATTGCAATGTCTTGTCCGTGAAATGTACATTTCTGTAATTTTTAGTCATTTAAACTCGTGTGTAACATTCATTGCTTATCTAGCTGATACTGACAATAATCATGCAATCGTTACTATAATCGAGCGACATTGTAAATACAATTTGATTTCCTCTCAGATGCACAACTCAGTTTACGTCGAGAAAGGATTAAACAGCATTCAAGATTAGCTCTTTGTGAGAGTCTTTGGTCTGTCCGAATTCCAGTTCCCGCAGAAACCCCGGTATCTATAATTGTAGATATTAGTGACGGATTTCTACCCTCAAGCTAGCCAAACGAGTTGCTCAGAGTTAATTGCCCCCCAAGTTTTTAATTTTATACTCTCGTCAAGTTCGGTTTAAATTTCCCGTTCCGCAGGGGTAAAAGTCTAGCGACATCAGTACTACTTACACGCGGCGATACAATACAAGGCAGTTTCTTATTATAATAAACACATTATTCATTATAGCGGAGCTCCGGCGGCCCGAAGGGCCGCCAAGCGGAGCCCCATACTCATATGGGAAAGAAAAG